TTGCACCACCACTGGGGCTAAGCCAAATCTGTTTATAGGCTCACAGATATGGATTCTGACGAGAGATTTGATCTAATAGGAATGAAAAGGACATCGGGAAAAGGTGAAGGAATAAAGGCAGACGTAGAGTGAGATGTGAGCGACACATTTGTGCTAGTGGGAACAGAAAAGGATCATTCTAAAAAAAACAAGGATTACAAGGTGGCCTTCACTGCCTACGCTCCTCTGGTTTCAGGCTTTGCATCAGTGCCTCACTGCTGAGAGTCATCTCACAAAGGTTTTGGATGGGGGCAGGAAATCAGCAAAGCTTCTCCAATGCACATATCAAGCCATCCCGCCACAGTCCATGCAGAGATCAGCTGTAGGGGTGGAAACAAGAGGTGTGTTTCCACTGTGGGAACTTCGGGGTGCATTCACAGGAACTTCCTGGCGTGTGCGTGTCTCCACTTGACCAACTTTCTGAGTACCTGATCAGAATGGCCGAGAACTTTTGATCAACCCACACTGATTGGTTGCAACTCAGTAGGAAATGACATCGGCAGACGTCCAAAACGGCCCACAGTAGTAAAATTAGAAGAGTTGCTTATGAAGCAGAAACTCCTGACACAGACAACACAGCGGAAGTCCCCCGAGAAGACTTAATTCATGGGGCTTTGTTGTCTCACGGGGCGCTGTAAAAAACAGAGCTTCATTTGGTCATTGAACGCCACATTTTACGTCACGCAGCTGCTCTCGTGCTCCGATTGGAATAACCTTTGATATACTTGAACAGAATAAAACTTTCAATGTTACTGTAGATGCTTTTTGGCGCTGATCGGTGATATCACTCACTGCAGAAGCAGTCGTGTGACGCTCACGTCTGTGCCAAGTCCTGAAAGGGCAACAGAGACAACAGCTGAGGGGACTGGGACATCTTCTGCTCACTTCTCCCTCCTAGAGTTTACCCTGAAGTTACGACAAAGGAAACACACCTAAGTAGCTCCTAAAATTATATAGATCTTGTTTTAAATGCAACAAAAAAATGTGGGTGGACTCTAAACAAAAGCAAATAAAGTTTGCTCATCTCTTCCAGAGCAGCTGGTGAGGTCACATCTCCTAAAGCCTCCCATCATGGTCAGCTCTAACTCCACCAAGCACATACATTTCTGCTACATTAACAGTCGAGTGTGCACTGTCGTGTTTCTACTCCTATCTCCATCTCTGCGCCTGCTGCTTCCCGTTTTCACCTCGCTCTGTTATTAGAGTGAGTTCCACCGGAGCAGAGAGTTCACCCGGCGCAGCGGATTCAAATTCATTAGCGGAATGCTAACACAACCCAGTGTCCCAGTTTGTGTGGTGAGGCACACAGGAGAGCTCTGATTGGTGCTGCAGACGCTCGGAGAGCACGGTGACATCTGTATCGCAAAGTATAACACACACACACACACACACGCACGCACGCACGCATGCAGAGCAGCTAAATTAATGCAAATAACTGATGTAGAACATTTATTCATTTACCAGGCTGTGTAAAGCAGACGCAAATTAAGGGAATATTCATATTTAGTTTGCCCTGCAGGAAATTAAGTGCTACACGCCAAAAATCCTAATGTGGCTACAGACACTATTGTCATAACAATACTTATTACTGACTGAAATACACAGACAAACGAGATTCAGTTTAGTTTTGTGCAACTTTAATTGTTTATTCTAAAAAGATATGCAATAAATATGAGGCTGTAGCTAGCAGTTAGCTTAGCTTCATTTAAAGCAGTATTTCTCAATTAGTGGGGCGTGCACCCCTGGGGGTGGGGGTGGGTGGGGGATGGGGGCAGGTGGTTATCTGGGGGTGGGGGGTGGGGGTGGGGGCAAGATGCAGGACAATTCATTCTTTTTTAGCATAATTTGTTCTAAATGGAATGCTAAACCACTCCCAGTTGCTAGGTGGCAGCAGCGCTCCAACTAATCAATAAGCTGCTCTTTTAGCCCAGCAGAAGAAGACCGACCAAAAACAAACACACACACACACACACACACACACTCACACACACACACACACACACACACACACACACACACACACACACACACACACACACACACACACACACACACACACACACACACACACACACACACACACACACACACAGGTGTCCCAGTGTGCAATGAGAGCGCTGATGGAGGAGCAGGGCCGTGCAGAGACCTTTGAAGGGGCGGGTGCTCAAAGTTAAAAAAGGGGTACATACAGAGCAGTTTTTCAACAGATTCACGATTCAACAAGTTAAAAAATTCAGATAATGAGACCCTCGGTTTCACACAACATAATGTAAACGAGGAAAAATATGTCAATAATTAAGGTAACGTTATTTCATCAACAATTGTTTTAGTTTTTAAAGCGGACTTATGTTACAACCATATATTTGCCCTGATCTGAATCCAAGTTGTTTGATTTTTGATTATCTTCCAACACTGAGTCCTGTTTTGATACCAGGTGGTGATGCAATGCATTAAAACTGATGTAAAAAATGGAGAAAGTCCCACAGTCATCATCACATACTGGTGATCTCATTGGAGGGGAGTGGTGAGATGCAGCAGTGGCTAGACTCGGGAACTATTTGGTGGTTTTAACCCCAATCCAAACCCTTAAAGCTGAGTGTCAAGCAGGGAGGTATTGGGACCCATTTTTAAAGTCGTTGGTATGACCCGACCGAGAATCAAACCTGATCTCTCAGTCCCAGGGAGGACGCTACCACAAGGCCACTGAGCTGGTCCCAAATTGTCCTTCTGTCTGTATTTGTATTCAAAATTGACTAAAGACAGCTCATCTAAGAGGTGGTAAAATATGAATAAAATAAGTAAAATAAATGCAACCACAGAAAGTTATCCAGCGTGATCTACAGCTACGGTAGCTGAGATTTTTCCTGGCTGTAGAAAATTCCTGATCCAATTCCATAATCTCTGAACACTAAACATGAGAGCTCCGCTACCAACCTAACATCACCCTTTACAGAAGGCCACACACATACACACACACACACACACGCACGCACGCACGCACACACACACACACACACACACACACACACACACACACACACACACACACACAGTCATTTCATACCATTTCCAGAATACTGCACATACTATTTGCCATAACTTTGCTTCATGGTGCTGATCCCGAATATTTACCTAATTATTTATTTCTAGTGTTGTAATAATAACATGAGAGTCAACAATAAAAAACATAATAAACTAATAAAACATATGCAGTTATGCTCACATTCACTTTTACCATCTCTTGGTGGGCAGCAGAACATTTATCACACGTTTAACCCTCTTATGACCATAAATATAACTGGTATTTACTTTTTTCTGGCTGTGAAATAGTACCAAAAAGTGCAAAATGCTTGTAACTCTGCTCCTCTTTTAGGAACAACCTCAGCTTTCAGTGTCTGGTTTATATTTAGTATTTATGTTTATCAAAGTCTGTAAAAATGCAGCTTAAATGAAAAAGAAAAAACAGATTTGAATTCTTTACATTTATTACTAAATAGGAACCTCAAAATGACTTGGTCAGACTATTTCAAATGAACAGTTTAAACTCTGAACTTTGTTTCAAACAGTCAGAAAACAGTGTGAACCCTGCCTCATGTTTATCAGTTTTTTTCTGACTGCAGCCCTGTCTGTGACCACAGGCTACCCTCTCATTCACTGGGGTAAACCCCAACGTACAGGCACCAAATGGGGGGCAACTACTATGCCCACCCCTGCTTGACGCCTCTCAGTGGGAGCAACTCCAGAGTGGTAGAAAGTCCAACCCCTCTCAAGGAAACTGGGTCCAGAGCCAGAGCCATGAGTTGAAGTGAGCCTGGCTATATCTAGTCGGAACCTCTCAACCTCACACACCAACTCAGGCTCCTTCCCCACCAGAGAGGTGACAGAGAGGCGGCTTCTGTAGCCGTGGATCAGATCGCCAAGGTCACCGCCCTCGACCACCACCCGTCACACACTGCACCCGACCCCTATGGCCCCTCCCACGAGTGGTGAGTCCATGGGAATGGGGGGCCACATTTCCTCTTTGGGCTGTGCCCGGCCGGGCTCCATGGGTTAAAGCCCGGCCACCAGGCGCTCGCCAGCGTGCCCCACCTCCAGGCCTGGCTCCAGAGGGGGGCCCCGGTGACCCACATCCGGGCGAGGGAATACGGTTTCCACTTATATAATTCATCATCAGAGGTCCTCGGGCTGCTCTTTGATCCCTCACCTAGGACCTGTTTGCCATGGGTGACCCTACCAGAGGCAGAAAGCCTCAGACAACTTAGCTCCTAGGATCATTGAGACACTCAAACCCCTCCACCATGGTAAGGTAGCAGCCCAGGGGGTATTTGCCATTTATTTGGGCCATATTTGTCGGCATTTTTTAATGGAACCCATTTCTTCTGCAAAAAGGAAAAACCAGGGGAAAGAAAATTCATGATTTCTAAGTATCTACATAGTTAAAAGGTGTGGTTGACTAAAAAAAACATTTTAATGATTATTTCTGATTATTAACCAGTCACTCTGAGTTTTTAAGCAGGCTGAACATGAAAATAGTTTCCTTCACCTATCATCAGCTTAAGCTTCTGGTAGAAAATAGACGCTGAAATGCTCAGATTTGAATATACTCACACTGTGATGTCACGCTGTAAATTTGCATTCATGGCCTCGGCCATCTTGGTTCGCGCCTGCCCACGGGAAGGCTTTATAAAAGTGTGTTGGTGACAGAGACTTTGCATAATTGCTGAACATGTTCTGTTAGCCAATCAGAAGTGACATTTGTGCATATCAATTAATATTAATGAGCAATCCTGCTGTTTTCAGCCCACCTCTGCACCAGCAAACATCTGCATCTCAGAACAGCATCGCTGCTTTTTTTAATGAATCAAAACGTATTGATTTACACTAGAGAACACTGAAAATGTATTGAATAAATGAGTAAATCACACCTTTAAAAAACAATGCGACATGTTTGATTGCTTTACCTTCATACAGCCAATCACTGAGCCCGTTGAAGATGACACCCTCTTTTCCTGTAGACACCAGACGAATGGAACGGCTCTCCACCTTAGACCGATAGTAGATGTTGTTCTCAAAAATGAATATCTACAAAAGCAAAAGAGAAAACACACAAAATATATTCAAACTGATTAGGAGAGACTCAAAAAATAGTGGAATGTCACTCGGTAACTGAAGATGAGGAGATTCAATAAAATAAATGTAGTTTTGTGGTATTTTTACTATTACAAATAGTTGTTTTTTGTTCATTTCTGCAAATTCAGTGAACATTTGAAGAGAAAATATGATTTATGTTTAAAGGAAGAAAAAAACATTAGGCTAACATGTCCTGGCCGTGGAACACTGGACCAGCTCTATACCCTTAGAGGGATCTTAGGGGGAATTTGCCCAAGCAGTCTACATGTGTTTTGTGGATTTGGAGAAGGCGTTTGACCGTGTCCCTCGGGGGGCCCTGTGGGGGGTACTCCGGGAATATGGGGTACCAGGCCCTCTGATACGGGCTGTTAGGTCCCTGTATGACCGGTGTCAGAGCTTGGCCCACATTGCCAGCAGTAAGTCGGGCTCGTTCCCAGTGAGAGTTGGACTCCGCCAAGGCTGCCCTTTGTCACCAATTCTGTTTGTAACCTTTATGGACAGGATTTCTAGGCGCAACCAAGGTGTGGAGGGCATCCATTTTGGTGGCCTGAGGATCAGGTCTCTGCTTTTTGCAGATGATGTGGTCCTGTTGGCTTCATCAGAACGTGATCTTCACCTTTCGCTGGAGCGGTTCACAGCCGAGTGTGAAGCAGCCGGGATGAGAATCAGCTCCTCTAAATCTGAGACCATGGTCTTGAGTCAGAAAAGGGTAGAATGACTTCTCCAGGTCAGGGATGAGGTCCTGCCCCAAGTGGAGGATTTAAGTATCTCGGGGTCTTGAGTGAGGGAAAATTGGAGCGTGAGATCGATAGGCAGATTGGTGCTGCATCTGCAGTGATGCGGGTGTTGTACCGGTCTGTCGTGGTGAAGAGAGAGCTGAGTCAGACGGTAAAGCTCTCGATTTACCGGTCGATCTACGTTCCTAACCTCGACTATGGTCATGAGCTTTGGGTAGTGACCGAAAGAACGAGATCGCGAATAAAAGCGGCCAAAATTAGTTTTCTCTTCAGGATGGCTGGGCTCTCTCTTAGAGATAGGGTGAGAAGCTCTGTCATTCGGGAGGGACTCGGAGTAGACCCGCTGCTCCTCCACATCAAGAGGAGCCAGTTGAGGTGGATTGGGCATCTGGTCAGGATGCCTCCTGGACACCTCCCTGGTGAGGTTTTCCGGGCACGTCCAAATGGGAGGAGACCTAAAGGTAGACCCAGGACACGGTGGAGGGACTATGTCTCTCACCTGGCCAGGGAACACCTTGGGATTCCCCCGGAGGAGCTGGCCCAAGTGGCTGGGGAGAGGGAAGTCTGGGGCTACTGCCCCCGCGACCCGACTCTGGATAAGCGGATGAAAATGGATGGATGGATGGATGGATGGATGGAAAACATTAGGCAGGAAAATACTTTATAAAATGCCACATCTGTCCAGAAAGTTCTGTTTGATATCAAACTAGGCATCTTGATTAAAAACCTTGACTTTGAATTAACAGCAAATTTTGGGCCAAGTTTCGGACTTTGTCCCCCTTCCGCAGGCCTGTGGGGCAATGGAGAAAAGTGAAGGTCAGTCTCTTCGTTCCAGAGAATAATGGACCATCATCACCTACAGTAAACAGGGGAAGGTGGGGCTGCTCTCGGGGTGAGAGCTTTTAAAAGTTGAATCCCCAGGATTACGGAAGATGATGACCTAAAGAAAATTATCAAAACTCAGAGTTCTTCAGTAAAATAACGTTCTGTATGCACGGTGGAAAATGACCCAAGGTTTCTATAGAAGAGGCACCTTTACAAGGAAAAAGTAGCAGAACCTGTCACAATTAGTTTCTCTCGGATGCACATGGAGTCCCGGTATAGAAGCCAATCTAGGCCAGAACACAGAGAGGAGACCTGGCCCCGTTCTCTGAGGAAAGGTGGAAATCTGCTTGGAGAATATCTGGAGCGTGGAAAACACAATGTGATGAGTTCTGTTTGTTTGGACAGTGAAAAACAACCCGAATAAGGCCATTTTTTTAGGTTTACAGTGTGATGATTGGCTCTTCTATAGGTTGTTTACTTTTTGTCATTTCTATGCTTTAGCTACTGCTGCAACAATGAAAGTGTTCAAACTACAGATCACATGTATCAACTACTAAAATATTCATCAAAAACAACCGTTAAGATGTGCATTACAGCCCAATGATGTGTTATGATTTTTGCCTGGCAAGTCTAAGACCTAAATTATGTGTATTTTTGTTAAAACGAGTCAGGCTTGTGAACAGAAGCAGAAAAAGGAGGTTGTTTTCTAAGATAAAAACACAAACATCTCAAGCACAAAAACAAATAAATGAATGAATGATTAAATAAATAAAGTGGCTGCACAGTGGCGCAGTGGTTAGCACTGTTGCCTTGCAGCAAAAAGGTGCTGGGTTCAAATCCCAACCAGAGGTCCTTTCTGCAAGGAGTTTGCATGTTCTCCCTGTGCATGCACGGGTTCTCTCTGGGTACTCCAGCTTCCTCCCACAGTCCAAAAACATGACTGTTAGGTTAAATGGTCTCTCTAAAATTGTCCGTGTGTGTGTGTGTGTGTGTGTGTGTGTGTGTTTCTGTCCAGAGTGCACCCCGCCTGCGCGCCCAGAGATTGCTGGAGATAAACACCATTTTATCAAACTGCCTGGTATTGTTTTACACGTTACCATACTGAGTCATATCTACTTTTAATGTACTGTTTTGCATTTTTTTGTGTTTCATTTAACATAAAATCATACCCTATAAAATGTAATGTATTGTTTTGCCTCTTATTGTAATGAATAACATTATATTGCGTTTTACTTTCCCACAGCAGTCTGACGCGTATGTGATGCTTCTTTAATGAAACAGATTGTTTACAGGAGATCTGATGCATCAAACACGGAAAACTAACGCACAACCACAAGAGGGTGTACTGCTCGCACCCCCAGCAGCGTGCACACGTTCCAAATCGAGACTAACGATATTTCCTTTGATTTCATCACATTTGACAATCAATACCACATCACAAGCAGTGGGAATTTAACAAATGTGTCAGTGAACTAATATAGCATGGGAACTCTTTGCAAATGCAGGCTGGAACTCTAAATCTACTCCTGTTTAATTAATAATCAGCCGACATACCGCTGCCATGATGCAACGTAAGGAATTCACTGTCAGAGCGTAGAACAGACATTGTTCTCCTCAGCGGGTTGGATAAAGTCTGAGTTGCAGCCTCTCTCGCTGTTCAGCTCAAATGTAATACGCGAGTATGGCCTCCCGAGGCTACAGCAAGCATCCATACTAGCGCGTTGTAGATTAGCCGCCCACAGGGAATAAAACCTCCATTCAACGGGGGATTTGCTTTCAGAGATGGAAGGAAAAACTCATAAGAGCCGTCTTTGTGCATTGCTTTTAAATGTGATGCCTTGTGTCATATCATACATGTTTCAGTAATAGCTCAACATGTGGCGGGACAGCTGTGTTTGTGCATAGACATGTAATAAAACGAGTTTTAATCAAGTGCAAATGGGATTTAAGATAGCAGGTGGGCTGATTTACTCAGAGTACAGCCCGTGTTTGACAGCACCGGTTTTGGCTCGCCTTGTTCCAGCTGGGGTTTCTCTCTTTAACCTCAATCTCCTCCACTGAGGAACCTTCAGGAAGACCAGCTGCTTCATGCTAACACATCTCATCTGCCGGTGATGAAACCCTCCATGATTGATGGCGGAAAACTTGAGGCTACATCAATCCATCAAGTGTGTTAACTAATCCACTGATCAGATAACGGGTAATTAATAGCATTTTGCTGCAGGATGTAATCACTTACATTGTGACTGCCCTGCAAACCTGCACACCAACGCTCATTAATGCTTCGGCAGATTTGATTGTGTGATCTAGAGAGATGGAAAAGTTGCAAAAGCCAATAGTTGCAATTCAAATCATTTTAATTTAAAGATAAACTTGAGTGAATCTTTAGGAGTTTTTACTTCTTCGGGAACTTATGAAAACTCGTCAGTCAGGCCAAGGAACTCTGAAACACTTCAAATATCCTCTGAACAGAGTTGAGGACTAAGACAAATGTCAAGAGTTTGACAAATCAGTGATTTACTGACTTCAAGTTCTGTGTTTGTGCTTTGTTTTAAATTTTATGCATTGACTGTTTTACTTATTCATGCAGCCTGTTGGCCAGGTCATGTTTGTAAATGAGAGGTGGTTCTCACACAGTTCTCCTGCATTAATAAGGTAATAATCACCAACGCCGGTCTTTGTTTGTCCTTCGCTTAAGTGTTTTCATTGGAAGACAAGAAATAAATGTCCAGATCTACAAATAGTTGTGTTAAAAATCCTTAATGAGCATTTCTATAATTGAACTGCCCTATTATTAACTCGTTCACTAAAGTCGTCATTGGCATTTTTTTACTGTGTGGGCGTCGGACGAGCCCCCGCACCGTGAGAACAAACATCCCAGCTCTAAAGCTGATCTTCGTCTGCATACATCACACGTCACATGATCAGGAAGCAGACAATACATGTGTTAGGAGATCGTTTTGGGTCGCTGCTGCAAAAAAAAAAAGTGAGACGCGAACCGGAAAAGCTTCTGCCGATCACAATTCAACAACGGATTATGAAAGAACGGATAACGCTCGAAATGCACAGATTCTTCCTGATGTAAGAGGTGAGTCTCCACTTTGTTTGTTTTGGTGTCGACATCATCCTAGTGCGCAACGTTCTGTCACTCTTAAAAAACAGTAAAAATGGTGAGAAACGCTGGCAGCGAAGGGCTTTACCAGTCAGGAAACGGCTGGCAGCGAATGAGTTAACAAGAACCAAGAGAACTGAGCACATCACTCCTGTTCTTGAATAACTACACTGGTTACCAGTAAACTACAGAATCCATTTCAAAGTGCTTCTACTAGTTTATAAGCAGGTGTGCACATAAGTGGTCCGCAGGTGCGCATGCGCTGTCAAAATAAACAATGCGCACCTGAAAAAAAGCTGCAGCACGCATTTGCGCACCTAAGATTTTGTGGAGGAAGACAGACATTTCTGGAGCATTTTAAAAATGTCCAAGAAGCACGCTCCATTAAGTAATTATTTTGGTGTTCCTCCGCCTCCAAAAAACCGTCAGACTGAGTCGGAACCGCAAAAGAAAAGAGTATTCGCGGAGAAGTGGCTGCAGGAGGTCGGCTGGCTTCAAACAAACGATGAACGCTCAGAGATGTGGTGCAGATTACGCCGTGAAAATCCCACCCTGGCAGACAAAAACAGCGCCTTTTACACAGGCACTGAAAACTTCAATCATCCAGCGTCTGATAAACATACTAACAGCAGGGAACATCAGAAAGTTGTCCTCTGCTGTGTGTGAACTGGAGGAAGCCAGTCAGGATAGTGAGGAGGATGATGATGATGATGAGGATGAGAATCTGTAGAAATAAAAACAGCATTTATGCCATTTTAAAAACTTCAGTTCTCTGAAATAGCAATTTTATTAAGGGCTTTAAAATTCATTTAATTTGATTTTTGTTATCACAAAAGCAGCTGTTTGCACGTTGTGTTTTACATTCAGACTATTCAGTCATGTTGTTTGAGAATTAGAAGGTTTAAGTTAAGCTGGCAGTATGTACCTGTTGTACTTGTTGTTTTCAGTCAAAATTAAAATATGTTGCATCATCAGCGCGTTACTCTGTCGTGTTCCTATTGTGAGTTGGGTTAAGAATTAAACATGTGAGGACCAAGCAGCAACCATAGGTTCTCCCCTGAGTGCCAACCCAAAAATATTATATGCACCCCTGTTTATAAGTCACTTAGTGGCATGGGGCCAGAATACATGTCGGATCTGAGATCCTCAGGAAACGGTCAGCTGGTAGAACCTCGGGTCAGAACCAAACAGGGTGAAGCTGTTTTAGCTACTTTGCTGCACACAGATGGAATCAGCTTCCTCATGACCACAACTGTGCCCCACCTTTAGTAGCTTTATATCAAAATGCATTCAGCTTCATTTAAGCTTCTGAATGAATGTTTCTTATGTTGCACCTTCTGCGCTGTAACTGCTCAGCTCCGACTTTGTCTTTTTATCCGGATTTTTAAATCTGAAATGGAGTTGTGTATTTAACTTGGTCTGAATGTATTTGTGTGTTTTAATTGTGCTGTCTCGATTTTGATGTTCATGCTATGCTCGCTAATGGAAAGCACATTGAATTGCCTCTGTGCGTGAAATGTGCTACATAAATAAAGCTGCCTTGCCTATTTGGAGTCTTTGTATAAATCAAACAACATTTAATAAAACCTGTAGAGTTTTCCCATACAAGTTATAAAAACACATTAGAGTTAGAAACCTTTGGTGAATTTAGTACCATTTACATCCTAACAGGATAGTGATGCTAACATTAATTATGTGAATCTTCCACCCAAGTGTAATCAGAGACTTTAAACAATTATTAAACCAATAAAACAACAATTATTTCATCTACACCAGTAGGTGTCCATAGCGTCTCCCTTTGCGGTTTGTTTTTAATTATCACACGCCAGCTCCTCTGACTGAACAGCCAATAGGAAGCCCCTCTGGAGCAGAAATATAATTAGTTTGACCGCCTCCTAAAAGCGTAAACAGGCGGTAAAGGACATGGGTGTTTGTTTGTTTTTTCCCTGCTGCAACGGCTCGTTCATTTCTGCAGGATTCTTGTGACGTTTATTAATATTTTAAAGGTGTTTGTCAGCGAACGTCTGGTGTGAACGGAGAACAGAAGCAGGATGTTACCAGCTGTTGGTCTTGAGGTCCCCAGCCGGCGAACTGCAGCTGAGCGTTTCGCACCTCTGGAGGATTCAGGTTCCACGTCTCCCTGTGGGGTGGGGGTGGGAGCAGAAACACATCAGAACAACCAGCGGTGGAGAAGACCTGAATACAAACGTGATGATGATTTCCAGCAGCTAAAGTGTGGAATGCTCTGAGAAGCACGTGTGAGCGTAAATACCAGCGCCGCGTAGCAGCGTGAGCTCTACTTATCCCCGCAGACTGCAGGAGAAACAGACTTCGTGTTTTCATAACGCTGTGGATGAGCGGTCGCCTGCTGGGATTTATTTATTTACTTATTCTGAGGGGAGATTGCCACTGGGTGGCAGCACATAAACATTTTGAGCTAAAATCATCTAAAAGACCTGCAGGTAAATTAAAATAGGCCATGCAACAGTTTAAAGAGCAAGTCACCCCCTACCAGAGTCTTACTCTACACCCACTTCATGTTTGAAAAAATGCAACAAATGATGTTGCCTGGCAGACCGAGAGGGCGGAGCCACTAACAAAATACACACACACAGGCTCACAACGACATTGTGACATCATAATGTACCATCTAATGTCATTGTGTACTTCTTAGCCAATAGCGATGACCGATTAAATTCAAATGTAGTGCAGAGTTTTTACCTGACAACGGCACAACGCTGACAGTTTTAGGCAGAATATCTTAATTTTAACTAAAATGCTCTAAAGTACCAAATTACTGACTACACGTGTCTACAGCACAATTAGACATTAATTTGTATAGTTTATCAGCAAAAAATACTTGGTTTGGGGGTGACTTGCTCTTTAACTATAAAGGTGCTGAAAGCATCATCTGCTTGTGTTTTAATTAATGCACTGCAAGTCTTTTCAGGTGTACGCCCGTCAGTCGTCACACCAACAACCAGCGATGAAGAAGACAGAATTTCTAAGGATTAAATTACTTAAAAATGTATGTTTTGAGCAAAAACAATTTGCTGATTGTTTAAAAATAAGCAACTTTTCAAGTGTTGAGTTAGACTGACTTCGTACATGTAATCTAGTGACGCTTCAAACACAGGTTTTGTGCAAAAAGAATGGGTGAAAGTCCTCTAACAGAGATCTGAAAGTTTCTCAGTGGGCTGCCAGTTATCAGACTTGACATGCAGGGTGCTACAAAGTTCTGCAGGGTGCCAACGCTTTTGCATCAGACTTCCTTTTCTTGTTTTCTGAAACAAAAAGAAGCATAAAAAAGACTTGCTTCAAATATTAAGAGACATGTGTGATTGTTAAGTTTGTCCCTTTAAAGGAGTGAAACACTCCTTTAATCAATGCATTTGCAGTGGTCTCTGGTAGGAACGGATGCCCTGTAAGTCATTTTTGGGGGGGGACATATACTGGTGCACCATTTCTTAGACCTAAAAGTGTCACGTTCTGCCCCTGCCTGCGTCTCTCTCCTGCCCTGATCAGCCCTTATTGTTTTCACCTGTCCCTTGTTTACCTGCCCATGTGTTCCTGATTTCCCTGTGTATTTATACCTCCCTCCTTGTGCCAGTCTTTGTCAGATCATTGTTTGTGTTGCTGTCAGTGTGTTATTCGGTCAGTCTCTTGTTCCTAGCTCTAGTGTTTCTTGGTTCTTCTCGTGGTTTCAGTGTTTTTTGATCACTAGTTTATATTTTTGGACATTTTGGATTACTGGATTCTGCCCTTTGGATTTATTTTTGTTTTGGACTCATCCTGCAAAATAAAGGATTTTCTTATATTTCATCTCCTGCCTCTTGTCATCCTGGGTTCTGCATTTTGGGTCCTACCATCCGCAATCGTGACAAAAAAGTGAGCCACATCACAACTGAGCTTCAGACGACGGGTTTTGGGACATCTCGCCCCGGATTCGATAACAGCAACACGACTATTGACTCGATTTGCTCTGCACCGCTGATGTTTCAGCTCCACAAATAACACAAGCCTGAAGGAGTTCTGCTATGTGGTGGAGCTGCTAATGCTAAGGGCTAGCTTAAACTAGCCGAGACGTAATCTGCTGATTTCCGGACAGCCTTCACCGCTGTGTCGAAAAGGGTTAGTCCATAAAAGTGTGACGTAAATCTGTCAGGCTTTTCACATCCTAGAGTTTCACTGTCTATTTTCTGTCAGAAGCTGATGCAGGAGATGGGTGTAGGAGACTGTTTTCATGCTCAGCCTGCATGAAAAACTCAGAGAGACCCATTAGAATCAGAAATAATCATTAAAAATATTGTGATGGGCAGAAGACGGAAGCTGCCGGGCTCTGAGGGTGTGGCGATTGGACACCAGCTGGTCCTCGTTATCCATAACGAGGCCAGGGAGGATAAAAAGGTGACAGGTCTGCTGAGAGGTGTGCGTGGTCGACCTGTCATTGTGGCATCGGACTTTGGGGGGTGGGGTCGTTCGCAGCCGGTTAGGGCTGCCGGCGACGAAGATAGCTAAACAGGTGTTTAGAGTTCCAGCGTCAGTCGCCTTCTTTAGGCAGCTAGGGCTGGGCTTAGGTGGTGCCAAGACCACGCCGACATCTGCCGCTACGGACTCTGGCAGTGGATTTACTGGTGGATGTATCCGCCGTCCTCGCAAGCTACACCCCGGGAAGTTGGATGGCGTTGGAAGCTCAGACCCCGGGGACGGGGGTCACCACATCTGAGACAGCTAAGTACTGCTGCTTGTGTGACTCATGCTGGACTGTTGGTTTTAGAAGAGAGGGCTTGGGCCATGGTGTTTTATCGTTGTATCTTATTGAGTGTGCAATAAAGCGTGTCTTTTATAAGTCGTTGCCTACTGGTGGTGTTTTCAGGTTCTGTCTGGAGGGCAAGATATTCTGCCCGTGCTGCCCACAGCTACTTTCATTACAATATTTTCTCAGTGTTCCACATCTTTGTGCTTGTGAAGCGCCTTGTGGTTTTTATCTCGAGAGGTGCTATTTAAAATATTATTTCAGTTTTTTATGCATTGACCCATTTAAAAAAAAGCAGTGGATGCAGAAGTTTAAAAAAATGGGAAAAATAATGCATTGGATTCAAAGTGATAATCAAATTCAGCTTCAGTTGCTCTTTATTTAGAAAAAATAAATGTATTTTTCTTCCTAATTCTTGTTTCAGTGTTTCGTAACATAACGATTGTGTCTCACTCTAACCGAAAGTCTGCTCTTGGAGGGCTAACGCAGAGAAGAGAATTAGACGAGGATAAAATCTGCAGGAATTACGACGACTGGAATTTGAGGGCATGGATTATCTGATAACCTGGCTTTCCAGGCAGAGTTTGTTGAGGCTCGGAGCTCAACAATAAAGTTGAGGTGAGACACTTTGCGGGACGCTGAGAGGAAACGCGGATTAGATCCCTTCAGAGAAGGTCAGGCGAGATTTTCCAGGATAACGCAATCAAAATGTAACCGGAGCGCCGCACTTACGGAGTTTCCAGACTGCAGATGATGTAGAAAGCTGTGTAGGAGTACTGGTACACCTGGAAGGAGAGATGGCAAAGAGAATTATTCAATTTACCTTACCTAAATTAATTTTATTCACATTAGTTTGCGTTTTCTGTTGTTTACTTGAATTTAACCCTGCTGAGATTACAGGGAAAGAGAATGTTTTCTGTCAAATTAAAGGAAAACGCAAACAGGATTAAAGCTGATGGCAGAGAAGTCTTGGAAACTCAAAGTTAAAGAGATGTTAATGAGAACAGAAAAATATAGAATAAACAAGGAAATTGTTGAAAATCAACATAAAACAGTAAAATAAGGTTAGCTTGGGCTCTAAAGCAAAAACAATACATTTTTAAAACCATTTACACTTCCATCACAGAGTAGCTAAAGCTGATTTACATACTTAAACATTTCTCCTGTGTTTGCTTTCAGGTCAGAACTTAAAGCTGTTCAGTTCCACCTGCAGATCCAGGTGATAACCACCAAAGCTGTCAGATGCAATGATCATTTCAATAGAACCGGTCTGACAACATGAAATAGGCTAAAAGATGTCAAAAAGCAACATGCCGTGCTTCTTTCTAAAGGAATTCAAGAAGTCAGAACAACACGTAAAGCAATGCAGGTCTCACTAGGTCAAGGTCAGGGTCAACGTTCATAATTCAATAGGAGGGGGGAGGGTGGGGGTGGGGGGGTCTATGAATGAAGTTTGTGTTGATCAAGAAGAAATAACTAAGTTGCAAGGGAGGGTTAGGGTTAGGGTGCCCCTGTGACCCGAACTCAGATGAAAAGGAGAATGAGCGCTAGGTGTTGTGGACTGGTGAGACAAAAGTATAACGCTTTGGAAAGTGTGTTTTGTCCTGGAGTAAAACTAACACTGCATTTCAAAAAAATAGCATCACACCAGCAGTCAAGCATGGTGGCAGGTGTGTGATGGAGGAGCAGCGGATCTACTCCGAGCCCCTCCTGGATGACGGACCTTCTAACCCAACAGGGAGCTCAAGTAACGCCCATCTACTACTGGACCATTATTTTAGGTTTTGTGTGAAAATAAGTCCAGGATGTGGTCCTGGACTTATTTTCTATCACCAAAGTGACGTCACGGAACCAGACACAGAGAAGAGCAGAGGAAAAATGGCTGTAAGTTCAGCGAACTTCAAACCCTTCCTTCAGGAGAAAAGAACCATCATAAATCTGTCCATGTGGTAAGTAGCAGCTACGCTAGGGTAAAGGAGGTTCTGTGCCGACGTCTGATGCTGATTATGAACCTTTACAAGTTAGTAAATGTCAAAGTACGCGACAGATGAGGTCGAAACACACAACACATATGTGTGATTTAGAGCGAAAGGCTAAGGGGATAAGAAAATAACTCGTTTAGCCCCGTTGACTTGAATCTGTGAGCCGACCGAAACGGGAGGAGACTTGCGCCCCCTGTCTCTAAGGGAGAGCCCAGACATCAGCTGCTTGTATCCACAATCTCATTCCTTCAGTCACTACTCAAAGCTCGTGACCATAGGTGAGGGTAGGTATGTAGACCGGTAAATTTGTCTTTCGACTGAGCTCTCTCTCTCTCTCTCTCCCCACCACGACAGACCACTACAACGCCACCATCACTGCAGGCGCAGCACCAATCTGCCTATTGACCTCACGCTCCACTTCTCCCTTATTCATGAACGAGATCCAGAAATACTTGGGGCAGGACCTTGTCCTTGACATGGAAAAGGACTTCTACCTATTCCAACTTGAGACCAAGGTCTCGGATTTGGAGGAGACGATTCCCATTCTAATTCCGACTCAGCTGTGAACCGCTCCAGTGAAGTTGAGCATCGCCGCGATGAAGCCAACAGCCCTGCACCATCTGCACGGAGCAGAGACCCGATCCTCAGGTCTACCGAAGCAACTCGGTTTGGAACCCCTGCTAATGCTTTAAATGTTTCCAAAACGTGAAAAGTAAAAGCAACTAAACACATCCAGTCTAGTCCACTCAAACCCTGAAAGATCTCCAGGATCACCTTCAGAGCCCTAAAAACGTTTTTAAATCATGCTACAGCTTTACGTACTTCTTATGTCAACAGCAATAAACAGTCAGACGGATCCTAAACAGTATATTTACCATCATATTTGGAAGATTTGCATGTGTTAGTGTGAAAACATTAGCATGAACGAGATGAATACTCTGTTAGAGATAAAGCACGCATGTGACTGTGTGCCGCTGCAGCGAACGCACAGGAGCAATGGCTGTCATCTGTCAAAGTGAGGAGGGTTTGGACGGATAAAAAATACAAACACGTGCCTCGTGACACCGTGCCAGAAAATATCCACCGTTCATTTCTGGCAATAGCACAGGATTATGTATCCTTCACAGACATCCTTCAAAGACTAACAACAGGAACTAATTCTCCCTACAGAAGCTCTGTAAAGCAGAATGAAAGGAGAACACAAACACCAGGTAGTTAAGTGACTCGGTGTATCTGATGTTTATATATTAGGAGTTGAAATGCTGTGATTCACGTCAGGCTGGAAGTCACTTTATTCAAGAACTGCACAGAAATGATAACTCCGCAGCAGACGCTTCCCGCTCTCACCGTCGATCTGCTCCTCGTACAGCGCCGGGGGGGTTGTTTGTGTTGCTGCCTCCCCCGCCACGCTTCCGTTCAGCTGTGCTAGCCTAAACACCCCCCACCCCCACACACACACACCTCGCTGCCGTCGCTGACAGGCACCAGCATGCGTCGGGCCTTCACTCCTCGCCGTGATTACTTTCTCCTCCTTTCTATCTTCCCCCTGCCTCTGCTCCCCTCGAGCTCCCCCACCTCTTCCCCGTGTTTGTGAAGCACCTGACATATTTGTCTGTCACTTTTCTAATTCAAACCACAAGCAAAGAAATGAGGAGCTCACCGGTGCAACGTTGTAGGCCAGCAGCACGTGCTTCATGTCAGGGGACACCTCATACTTGCTGGCTTTGTACATTTCCTGTGAATCGAATATATGTTGAAGAGAAAGAAAAAAACAGAGAGATGATATCTCTAACCATGCACGGTGTTCTTATTAAACTAGTCCTTAAATTCCTGCCTCTGACAGATTGCTTGCCTTAAGACGCAAACAGAGGTTACATTAATCTTTGCTCTGGTATTTGGGAATTTGATGGCAGATATTATTTGTGTCAGCACGTAAGCCATTACAGTTTGGCTGCCACATCTCCATCTTGACATTTGGCCACATAATCGGGAATTAAATGCTACATTGGCAGCAAATTTCAATGAAGTAATGCATTGTCTGATTAAGTTGTGTCATAAAAAGAGCTGTAGGGGGTCTGGCTTGCTGGCTCTAAAGAGCACTTTTGATTTTATTCATAGACATGCTTCACCTTGATGATTTAAAAGAGAAGAAGAGATAAATAAAAGGATGAGATACTTACAAATTTCTTGTTGTGAACCAAGGCGGTTTGCTCATCAGTGTCAACGTTGTATTTCACAACATCACCGTCCCTGTTGCGGTACAACAGCTCGTTACCTGTAATAAAAGGAAAACAGAAGCAAAAGAACAATTGTCATTAAGACGGTTAAAGAAGTATGGTTGTCAGACTATAGATACATTTTCATTCCTCATGTATGCAGATGACATCACACTTATAGTTTTAAAGTCCCATCAGTTGTCACACACACTGATGTGTGTGCGAAATTTGTTCTCCGCATTTGACCCATCCCCTGGGGGAGCGGTGAGCTGCAGACACAACCGCACTCGGGAACCATTTGGTGGTTTAACCCCCCAATCCAACCCATGTGGGTGTCAAGCAGGGAGGCATTGGGTCCCATTTTTTTTCAAAGTCTTTGGTATGACCCAACCAGGAATTGAACCCTGATCTCCCAGTCTCAGGGCGGACACTACCACTAGGCCACCGAGCTGGTGCTAGTTAGACATCATTATCTGTTGGGCCTATATCTACAGTTAAATAACTTTAAAGCAATACCAAGCAGTTTTGGTTTGCTTTAACACCCCCTAGTGTCCATTAGTAAAAACGAAAGTAAAACTCTTCTCGCTGTGCGTTCGTCTCTTTAACACCTTAATCCAAGAGCAGAAATGTCTCCTCAGCCTTTATCAGTGTCTACAGGAGCAATTCATCACTAAATCAAACAATGAAGCTGTTTTCATGATCTAAAACATGCCTGGTGCTGGAAGCAGACTCCAGCACCAGGCATGTCAGCTCCACTTTACTACGTCCAACCTATAGCACTCTCAGATCAGCACTCTGAAGTTGCAAGTGCAGTATTCTGGCCACGGAGCCAGTGGGGTCTGTGTGACATTTAATTAACCCCGTAAAGGGTCGTTTTAGCACATACTGGCTCAAGACAATGATTAAAAAATATGAAAAAGCTGCATTAGATTCAGCTCAGTTTAAGATGGCCACCAGCACTAATCCGAGTTAAAAAAAACAGAAAATGGTCACGATTCAATCAGCTTTTAAGCTAATAAGCTAATAATTGGTGTTGAAGCAATGAAAGGCCTTCCCTCTAAAATACTACAAGCGTTAAATATTGTATTTTTTGCTCAAAACGTTGCCAAATACTTTTGGAACCTGCTGCTACAGCCAACTGACCTTATAAACACACAAAATGCTGTAATACAGTCGCCTTTGTAGATATTGGTCTAACATTTGATCTTGTTTTCATTAAGAGTCATCCACAAACCAAGCATGTGTATGTTCCAAAAACTACACATTGCGTGAGATTGTTGCAGAACATTTTGGAATAAAAGCTGTAAAATAACTGAAGACTGCTACTGCAGCCAACTGACTTTCAAAACATCTGTACAAATGGTCATAGCTTCCAGATAACTTCGCACGGTAGTATCTGAGTGATTCACACTCATTCTCAGGAGTAACAGATCATATAAGGTCTCATGTGAGATTGTGTATGCCATTCTCAAGAGTAACACATTTGTCCAGTTTTCTAAATAGAAACATTTTCAAATCAAGGAGGCTGGTGTCAGAATTGTGTTTTATGTCAATATTTCTCCAATATTCACTCTTCTCGGACTATGCAATACAATTTTAGTTGGCTTGATGGAAATAGCTGTTGTTGCATCAAAGTGGAAAATAAGAATGCAAAAAATCTCAACTTAACCAAGAAAAGTGACTATACACAATTCAACGTATTACCACAATACAATAAAAAGACCTTATGAACATTTTTCAAGGCAAAGTTTCAAAGTTCAGGCAACGGAGGGATACCTTTGAAGGGAGCCATTATCTGACAGATGTAGGAAAGATCCTGCAGTCTTTAATCCATCAGGTCATTGTCAGGGAAGGATAAGATTAATATGGCAACTGCCCCTTTTCACCTCCAATCTCTCCATGCTCCCGTGTCTTATTGCTCCTGTGATCCATAGGCACACGAACAACCACGCCATTTGGCGAGGTAATTAGAACCCAGAGATTGTTATGCAAAGTGCTCTCTATCTGCTAGCATGTCTAATTGTCCATTAGAGGTGACAAAATTACCATCACAATGGCTTTAATGCAAAACGTGCTTGGGATTGCAGTTTCAGACACTTTTAGATTGGCATAGCCAAACTTTCCCTCAACAGCTTTTGTCCCCTTGTTAAAAGCCACTGGCATACTAACGAGGGCGTAAAATGGAGTCCGTCTGAGGAATCATGGTGATAAATAAAAGGGCACCAGTTTGATAAATCATCTGCCGTTATAGAAGAAAAGTTAACTGCAAAGTTGGGGTTTGAATGGGTAAAAATGCATGACAGTAAATCAGTGGTCTGGGAAATGGATGTGGCTGTTTTTATGGGCAAGCTTCGACTTAAACGCGTAACTTTTCATCTTTATCTCTCTCCCATTTACTGATCTTCTTCTTTAACCACACGCCTTAAGACACCCAGAAAATACCACAGATCTCTCAAATTCTTCCCATCACTGGCCCACATAAGCTCTCCTGCAAAGCTCTTCATTTTAGACCTTATCCCTCCTTCACCTTTTCAGCTTTATGTTTTTGCCTCTTTCAAAGGCGTACTCTCTCACAGAACCTAAGGCATTGCATCTTCGCTTCTGTCTATCCCTTTCTTGCTCTTTTGCTTCCACTTCTTCTACCTTCACTCACTGAGCATCAGCCCAGGGCACTGTTTTCTACTCTGATCTTAATCTTTTCAAAGCAGTATGTCTTATTAATACAGCTTCGAGCCCTGGGCGCAGCCCTAACCTGCCATCACCACAGGGATGCAGAAGCAGCGCCACGCAGATAGAGGTGGGGCTCAGCGCTGGAGTGAGGAGGAAAAAGTAAAACAGAAACTCATAATGAGTTTAAATTAGCTTTAGAGTTGGTTTCGTCCAACAGAATCAGTCATCAACAACGCTGGAAGCCGTCAACCAATGACTGTAGAGGTGCCTAAACCAGAGTGCTTTAAACCCAGAACCATTTTCATCACTGGTTTAGATGGTAACCCTAAACCCAAGAATCACACCAAACTCAAGCACAAAACTGATGAATTGTTAACTTTTGTTTGTTTACTATGGCAGCCATCTTGAATCTTAGGGGAAAAAAACAGTTTAGCGATGTCCCAAAACTGGAAAATGAAACTGGCTTAAGCCGGACGGACACTGTGCGATTTTCCCACTCGTAGCACTCAGCTTCAGTTCAAACTGTACGACTTCCTCGCAGGGCAGATCTCACGAGTCATGCGCTCACACTGCACGACCCAGTTCTCGGATGCGACCTGACTGCTCACACTGCACGTCTGGTAGCAACAAGACGGCCCTAAAAATGTGCTAAAAATAGCAGTTTTTACTCAACACGGCAGACTTTTTTGTCTTGTCTTGCCTGTTGTCCTTCGGGAGTGCTGCAGGAGGACACACAGGGATTTATGGGGGTTGGATGAGGAAAACTAAATAAAAAAAGTAAATCTGTGTTTTGTGATCAGTTTAATTTGACATGAACACGACAAACACACTTTCTTGACAATCTTTGTGAGTAAAAAAACGTGTAGAAACAAAAACGAACAACGTGTGTTATTAGGGAAATAGCGGGTGAACAGTGTTGATGCAGGATTACGCATGCACCGTGAGCGGTTCTGATGCTTTTTGGGTCGCAGCTGCTCGCAGCGCCGCTTCAACAGTGCGATACCCTCACGAGGGACGAGCGAAATATTAAACACGCCAGAAGTTCGTGCGAGCTCACGACTGCTGATCGGTAGCTGGTCACGTGGTGTTAATCGCCTCTCGTAACCCCCTGTACACTAAACGACCGCTCGGCGCAAAACTCGCCCCGATCTCGTGGATTCTCGCACGAGTGGAAAATCGGCTCAAAAAAGTGAAAAAGTCACACAGTGTACGCCCGGCTTTAGTTCCAGATTTTTTGAGGTTTCCATGGAAACTGCATCCATAAGAGACACTCTGTCTGAAGCTGAGCTGTTGAAATGAGATGAAAAGTTTTGAACATTTAAAGTTGAAATAATAGATCCTTTAAAACAGTGACCGTCCTAAACAGAGAACTAGAACAGCCTCCACCTTTAGGTTCTGAGGTCAGACTCATGGTGGACAAAAATTAGTTGGAAAAATATAGGTTGTTTATGTTTTCTGAAAAGGTTGGAAGCCATTTGAAACGTCTAAGATACGCCAAGTTTTTGCCATAATGTGCTCAAATGAGGAGGAAGAAGAACCAAAGAATTCAGGAGGAAGCTACAGTAGAAGAGGAGAAAGCAAGAGAAAATATGGAAGGAAACAAGTCCAGAAAAAGATGAAATACGAGAAAGCAGAAGGAGGAAGATGAAGAGGCAGGAAGAAAACAAGGAAGCAAACTTATTTGAATAAAGTTGAGTTTAAACTCTGTGCTTGTGATGGTGGCCATCCTGAATTTTGGCAAAGGCAAAAAGATAAGTGGAATGAGAAAAAATATGCATGAAAGTAACAAAAAGACGCATGAAGGATAATTGGAAGTAGGGGGTGGATGGGTGGGGGGTGTTTGGGCGAATGGATGGATGGATGGATGGAAGGATGGATGACGCATGGCCCAGTCCCAATACCCACACTGCAGCCTACGGTCCTCTATGAAGGACACTTGGTGGAAGTGCACGTATGACTTTGAGTGTGTGTAAACAAGTTTTCAAATAACTGCAGAATTGTCTAAAAACTCAAGTTACAACAAAAAAAAATCCCAGTTAATTGTTATTTTTGGATGAATGTTGTCTCCAGCTGAGTTTATAATGTGGACAAACAGACCTGATCTCACTGTTGCCATGAAAATAAACTCAGGGCCAAAGAAATAGCTTGTTGGTGAAATCCTGCTTGAAGGTCTTTAATCTCAAAGCGTAACCTCAACATAAACCACCATCATGTGATTAAAGAATGATTGAAATAGCCGGTTCCTGTAGGGCTGTTGTTAGCCGAGAGGTTAGCCGGGCAGCAGTGTTAAGTTCGGGATGAAATGGGATTTTTCTTGTCGGTTCCAGGTCATTTGTTCGTGCCCAAGGCTGCAGATGATGACTGGTTTGATGGAAGTGACACAAGCTGC